ATCCTTGAGGCTCTTCCCAGGTAAACCTGAAATTATTTAAATTTCAATCATTTCAAAATGATTAAAACACAACTGGTAACATCATGATAGATAAAATATTGAAGTTTTCCAGGCTTTCAGCTTGCTGGGATCCACGATCAAGTCTCACAGACGTAGCAATCAAGAGATCAAACGCACAATGCATTGATAAGCCTGCTGCCCGTGGCCTCGTTAAGTGTCGAAAAGCAGGGATGTTACTTTGAGGACTAAACTAAGGTGCACTGGACCTCAGCCGTGGCATTTTCGCTCGCCTCATATGCATATGAAAGGTGAACACTGAATCAGGGAGACTGAAGAAGAATCGGTGTGTCTGAATGACCGGGTGCCGGCGAAGAGTACTGAAAGGACCCCGGACCATGGAAAGGACAGAGCATCTGTCTCGGAAGCAGTACAGCCAAGATGCTCCTTAGACGTGAGGATGGCAGGACTTGGTCTGACAGACTTGGGGCATGTTGTCAGGAGAGATCAGTCCCTGGAGGAGGGCCTGCTTGGCAAAGTCCAGGGGCAGCAGGAAAAAGGGAGGCCCTGGACAGGATGGGCTGACGGATGCAGAGGCTGCTACATGACTAGTATATTAGTTGCAAAACCGTCTGGCTCTCCCCTGCCCTACCCCAAGCCGATCCTTTTGACCCCAGTGGCCTGGTCCTGCCTCTGTTTCAGATGCCGCCCGGGGACATTCAACCTGCAGTCCTACAACCCAGCCGGCTGCAGCAGCTGCTTCTGCTATGGCCACTCTAAGGTGTGCACAGCCTCGTCCCAGTTCCGGGAGCATCACATCCTTGCCGACTTCCACCAAGGTAAGAAGCTCCTCCTCCTGCCCCTCCCCTAAGTGGGCAGGGGGTCCACCCTGGAGAGGACCCTGCGTTGCAATGTGGGTAGCTGTGAAAAGGAGGCCAAGTGCCCACACAGAGCTCACCGAGTAGGGGCCAGGTGGGAGGGGGCCAGCCTTCGGCCCTCTCCTGGCCAGTCTCTAGCATTTACACGTGGCTGGGTTGGGGGCTGGGTGCCTGATCTCCTTTGGACCCTGTAAGGAACATTCCAGTCCCCTTGTCAAGAGTGGCCGCCCTCAGCAAATCTGAGTGCTGGGAGTGTCAGCCCACCCCCTGGTCTCCATTAATTGAACACCTGCTGCCCACGAGGCACCGTACTGAGCTCTCTTCATGCGTGACAGGTACATAGTTGTGATAGACGGGAAGGGAGGTCCCTTGCCCAAGTTCACCTAGAACAGTTGTTGGCACCTGGGTCCGTCAACTCCCCAGCCTTACTCTTAGCTAAGGTGACCAGATTTTAACATTGGTAAAGCTGGACACCATTGACCAGGGGAGTGGGGGTGGGAGTTGATTTAAAATTTGGTCTATATCATTTTGCCGCCACTATAAAATATAAATAATACAAGTACTGTCTGCTAAATTCAAGAAAATTTATGTATGTATGAAATAAATAAGTTACTTACCTAAATTATCTGAATAGCTGATCTGTTGACATCACTTGTTTAACTAGCACTAGCACGCAGTACAATGTGTATCGTCTGAGAGACAGTTACAAAATGTTTTTGTCGTTGCCAGTGCCAAAAAATGCCATTGTTCATTAAGCCCAAACAATGGTAGTCGAATTCTAACAACTGATCAACAATGCGAACTTTGATAAGCAGTTCTCGATAATCAGCTCTCAACAATTATTTGTTATTATTAAAGTTTAAC